TGCTATATTTTTGTGTGGTAATTAATCAAATCAACAAAAAAAAAACTCTCTATTGAAAAGATTTTTCTTTTCTTCCAACTTTTTCTTTTCATTTGATGTCAGATGTCACAAGATTTAACATAATAAAGTTTTTTTTTTAACTTTTTAACATAATAAAGTTGTAGAGAATATTGTATCAATATCCATTATCTGTTACATACAACTCCCACTATAGGTGTCTGATAAAACGATCGACACGTGGCAATCGAACAGATATTAGGTCGGTCGTTGCCACGAGTAACACCAAAAGAAATGGATAATTAACGAACACTCTTGAAAAGATGAGAGTCAAAAATAGTTCGTTGGATAATTTAATCTTTTGACTCTTCTTCCACTTCTCTTTCATTCGCTCTTTATGGATATCAATTTCACGTGACAGTTAAACCAAAACAAAAGAAAAAAATATTTCATCAAATACAAACAAAAATATAATAAGCAAAAACCTTATCTCTTTTTTTGTCTTTGTCGGTTGCAGCATTGAACTTGACCTGATCTTCTGATATCTTATCGCAATGAATGTGAAGTTTTATGAAATGCGAAAACAACCCTTTTTGGGAGGTTGCCAAGTTTATTTTGCCTTTTAAACTTTTGATAATTAAGGTTTCAAGATGTGAAGAAAAGTTTGAAAATTCGTGATGGATAAGTGTGGGACAAACTCAATAGTCTCCATTTCTATTACATCAAATTCAGGTATCGGATTTGGCTGTTGATTCTCATGTGAGAGAGTGTTGAAAAATCTACAAGACCAAATCAAAAGTTGAAATCACAGATACTTTTAGTTTTCCAGATAAGGAGGAAAAAGTAAAAGACTGAATTGCATGCGTCTTGTAATTTGTGATTTCTTGAGATTAAAGTTCAAGAATTTAGGTTGGTAACTAACTGATTATACTTTTGTAAAAAAAGAAAAAAAAAACTAACTAGTTATGCTTACTCGGTCAAATATTAATACAGTAAGAGTCACAAAAATATTTATTAAAAAGTGATGTTTTATCATGTGAACATTTGTTGTTTGAGAACTTGGTTTCATGCGGAAGATACGTCGGGAAAGTTGCTAACTACGACACGTTTCCTTATTTTCAGATATTTGTGTAATCTTCATTAAAGAGTGAGTAAAAGAGATACATCGGGAAGTTTATATACAAAGTAAAGACAAGATAATTAGCTCAACTGAACCAACACTAACCAATACTATTAACCATGATGACTAAACCAATCTATAGTCTCTAATACTTATTATCTTCTCGAGATTCTAATAGAAAGGATCTTTCTTGATCCTAAATTTGTAATGTTGCTCAATTACTAAACTCAAGTAGCTAGGTGTTGACTAGAGATGTTGGAGTATTTAGCTTCGAACCATTTTTTTTTTTTTGCTAAGATTTAGCTTCGAACCATTAACTAGAGATGTTGGAGAATTAGTTTGATCTTCGTTTCAAATTGTTTTTCTTTACATAATACTTCCTCTTTACATAATACTTCCTTTAATGGAACTTTTTAGGGTTTTCACGGATTCTAAAAAAATAGTTTAATTGCTAATTATACTACTTAATAACTTTCTATAACATTAAACTAATAATTGTTTAATAAATATAATTGTTTCGTGTAAAATAGAAAAAATGCACGGGTAAATATAATTGTTTCATGTAGGTGCCTTAATTGATTCGATTTTGGAACAAGTAAATAGAGGTTTCCAATTTGATTTTTTTTTCTTTCTTATTCGCTTTTCCGATTTGGTTTTTAGATATTAAATGTTGCTTCAATTCTACTTGAACTAGCGATATGTAGCAGTACGTAGTTTTCATAATAAATCAGCTTAATGTCAATACGAAAAAACAATGACATCCCGGTTCATAGAACTAAAACCAAAATTACAACAGAATTAAATCGATCTTGGTTAAGGATTTTATTTTATTTTATTTGTTGCACAACACATAGAAAGGGATTATTTTTGTCATTGTCAATCGCATATTTTCCACCCATGAACTTAACCTTAATTAAGCAGAGACCAATGTGAGAACTGAAGTAGGTAAATCGAAGTCGACACACATTCTTGCTGGTGGCTCTGCCGAGTCTTTGACAACTTCATCAAGCAAAGCTACAACATATTTGTAGTCACCCTTCACAAATTTAAAAATAAAAAGACCGTTAGAGAGGCAAACCAAGTAGAAATGTGAGGAACATGATTTTTTTTCCGGTTTTAGAAAACAATTATTGAAAAAAAAAATATGGTTAGACTGGATAATGAAACCAACATGTTCCTATGGTTTTTCCAATGCGATTTCAATTATTATTTGGCTACATATTTCAGAACTTAGAATAAGTTTCAGACACAAGAATGAGTGTAAAAATAATTACCTCAAGTACATCTTTAGGAACTTCATGAAGAGGTAACACAAATTTGGAACCAGCTTCAATAGGGCATGGCACACCCATCGCGCAGAGGTCAAAGCGTCCTAGAAGATCAGTAATGTTCTCAGATTTAGCATACACATCTATAACTCCTTTGCCGATGCTTTCCTCTGTATACATAAAAATATATTTTATCAAGAAAATATTCGAAACTATAAATAAAAAAAAGAAAGAGTTTAAAACTTGGGAAGATCAATATTACGTACTTGCAACACCGAATACCGTAATGCTTAGCTCGTAGTCCTCAGGCCCAATAGGGTTCGGAGAGATCTCCACACTAGTGACCTTACCAAAATCGTATCCATTTTCTACAAAAGCATAGATTAATTGTAAAAGTTATGAGTCATGCTAGTGTCAAAAACTTAGATCTATACAACTTTCTTACAAAAATAGATCCAATAATTATTTATTAAATTGATATATCAACAAACAATTACGAGTACTAACATTTCTTACAAGTGAAGATCTAACTCTTACAAATCGAGCACTAACATTTATTACAAGATTTTATCCAAAAAGAAAAACATATCTTACAAGATACTAGTATGCATGTACCATAACAGGATCCACTCCTTAATTTATTTTTGATTGAATTTATCTCATTGTGAATCCAAACCCAGAGATAAGACTCGTCCTATTGAGCTGGTCCAAGATCTATCAGTTTACTAAAGATAAGACAGAGATAGAAGCAATTAAAACAATCTATGAAATCGTAGCCTATTTGTATAATTGAATTGATTTATCAACTAAGGATGATAGGTAAATCGAATCGAGAGTAGCAAATCGATACTTACTTACTGTTGCAGTATTCGAAATCGATAGCGCGCAATGCAGGTAAGAAGAAAAGTGATGCGAGGAGAAGAAACAGAGGATGGACGTGAGATATCGCCATGAATCAGTTTGGTTGATCTTCAAAGAGGGAAAAAGAAGATTCTTATGTTTGTGTTATCCTTCCTTTCCATGCCTATAAAAGAAGATTTTTATAGTATATTAATTATAGATCATATTAATATTTTTGTTAGTTATATTCCACGTTATACACGAGAATCTTAAAATATTAGTAGACTCAAATAAGTAGGTATGGTCATTGTCAATTATCAAGCAAGTGGATTCGTCTCGGAGAAATTAAAAAGCCTTTATTTATTCACGGACTCTGGAGTTATTTGGCAGGACCATGTGCCCAAGTGGTTCGGTCCTGATTTCCAAAAAAAAAAATTGAATTAACATTTTCCTTTCTAAGTAAAGATATATAAGAATAAAGAAACGATTCAAGCTCTTTAAAATTTGCCTTAGTCGTAAAATGGAGTTACTCTTGGTTATAAAACAACATGATAGTAGTTGCACCAATATAACATGATAGTAATTTCAGCTTTTGTTCAATACGGAAGCACCAATGTCATTTCATAGAAACCAAACCAAAGTTACAACGGAGAGGAATCCATCTCGGTTAAGGACTTCCTTAATTTTATTTGTTCCACACACATAAAAAGTGAGAAGATGTGAAAACATTTTTTCCACCCACTAATTAACTTGACTTAAGCAGAGACCATTGTGAGAGCTGAAGTAGGTAAAACGAAGTCGATACACATTCTTACTGTTGGCTCTTCCGCGACTTCATCAATCAACTCTACGACATACTTGTAGTCACCCTTCACAAGTTAAGGAAAAGACCATTAGAGAGGAAATCAAGTAGAGGTGTAACAATGTGAGAAATTAATATGATTTTTTAGAAAACAATTATCAAAGTGAAACAACAACAACAAAAAACGGCTTAGACTGGATATATAGAGACAGTAATTAGTCACAAGCTAGTGCTAATGAAACAAACATGTTCTTATGGTTCTCCCAGTGCGATTTTAATTATTATTGGTCGTTGTGTACGTCTTAAATTACAAGAATACCTGGTGTTTCATAGATTTTGGGGTTTACCGTGAGGCTTTGGCCCCCGATCCCCGGTTATATAAATGAAAAACATATCTAGGATTAAAAAACAATCACAAATCATACATGTTGCTTCTCTATATATGCAAAGAGTGTAAGAATAATTACCTCTAGTATATCCTTAGGAATTTCAGAAAGAGGTAACACAAAGTTGGAACCAGCTACAATAGGGCATTGCGAACCCAACGCACAGAGGTCAAAGCGTCTTAGAAGATCAGTGATTTTCTCAGATTTAGCGTACACATCTATAACTCCTTTGCCAATGCTTTCCTCTGTATAC